ATGGCAGAAGAAGTGAAATACTATAGAAATTAATCAAATAAACTTGGTTTAAAGGGGTACCTGTGGCAGTTCGGCTCGTGGTTCTGTATGCCCAGAGGACGTTGTTGAGCTCGTCTGCCCACTTGGCCTTATGCTGCTCCAACCTCGGCCTTATACCTTCCAAAATGCATTTGTTAACAGATTCCACCATGCCATTGGACTCCGGATGGTAAACGGAGGTGAACTGTAATTTGATCCCATAACTGGAGCAGAAATCTCGAAATGAGGAGCAATTGAATTGAGTTCCATTATCAGCCACAATCTGATTTGGAATCCCATATCTGCAGATGATCAAATTGAAAACAAAATCTTCGACCTTCTTAGAGGTAAGACTAGATAAAGGTCAAGCTTCAACCAACTTCGTGAAATAATCCACACCAACAATCAGATGGGTTACACCACCAACCCCTTTCACAAATGGGCCTAAAAGATCCAGTCCCCACTGAGCAAATGGCCACGGCGCTACCAAGTTCGTGAGCTCTTCTGCTGGTTGATGAGTCAGGTGTGCGAAGAATTGACATTTCGGGCATTTCTGAACAAAGTAAGTGGCATCTTTGTACATGTTTGGCCAGTAGTATCCTTGTCTTAAGACTTTGTGAGCCAGAGTTCTAGCACCGACGTGGTTCCCACAGACACCTTCATGTACCTCTCGAAGTGCGTATTCAACTTCATAGGGGTTTAAACACCGTAGAAGAGGAAGTGAGAAAGATCTCTTATACATGACTCCATCAACAAGTGTATATCGAGATGCTTTCTTCCTTAATTTCATTGCCTCATGCCTGTCCTCAGGCACTATCCCATCTCGTAAGAAGGAGACAATTGAATCAGTTCAGCTTGGTGTGTCAGGGTTTGTGCTAATCTCCATCACCCGAGGCTTCGTGAAGCTTGGCTCATCTAAGACCTCTACAAAAACGGATCTGGAGCTTAAGGAGCTATCAGAAGCAAACTTGGAGAGTGAATCTGCCTGTTCATTCTCAGCTCGGGGAATTTTACTCAGACAGAATTTTTGAAATTTGCACTTCAGCTCGGCCACCAAGGCTACATACTTTACCATCACAGGATCAACAACTTCGCAAATAGAGTTGATTTGGTTCACCACCAGCTGAGAGTCACTATATCCTTGAATTGCACTGATTTTCAATTCTAGTGCTAGCTGTAGTCCAAGTAGGAGAGCTTCATATTCAGCCATGTTATTTGTTGCATCGAAATTGAACTTCAGGGCATGTTCGCTTCGGTATCCCTCTGGACCAATCAAGAGAGCGCCAGC